ATATATACTTCAAGTACATCTCATTAAAATATTAAAGTGTATTTCCCTAAATGTACTTTTTTTTACCATGTACAACTGATACACCATCAGTTTACTAACAAGTGTACTTCTAGGACTAAATTGGTCCACAATAAGTTTATACTCAGAAGTATACTGAAAGTAATCAGTATACTTTTAGTTTAAGCTTGAAATATACTCCAAATAAACCAGTCTGTGTGAAAATGTACTTTTAGTGTACTACTAAAGTTAATCTTGGCCAGAAGTTTAAACATTAGTATTGACTAAGTATACTTAAACTTTTGTTATATTTTCAGTATAAGCCAAGTATAGTGTATGATAAACTTGGTTAAGTATATCTCAGATAAGTACATAAAAAGTAAACTGGAAGTATACACTTTTATTTTTAGTTTAAAATTAGTATACTTAAAGGATATTGGTCCATTTATATATTTGTTTTTATTTCTAATAATGTCATATTCGGTGGTCCATACCGCAGCGGTCCTGACAGGACCTCTACATAAATCACAAACATCCATATAGATGAGTCCATGTGGTGGTGTGTCCATTTATTACACAACAAGAAGCACCGACAGAATCCACTCCCTGTAGCATCAGACAGTGGAAGACCTCACTTTTTTTTTCTTTCACAGTGAGTTTAATGAGAACATGTTTAGACAAGGACATCAGACGGTTTCATCTAAAACAAAAAGCCTACATACAGAAATATACAGCACACAAAAATAAAGCAGTGTCAAACAAACAACGGTTAATTGAGTAAAAAATAGAATTTAATCATTTAAATACTCTTCAAAATACAAACATTGATTTGAATCTCTAAATAAGATAACATTAAGTCGCTTTTTTAACTTTCTTTTTTATATCCTTTTAACTGACAATGGTAAATGTACACTGTGACTGTACAAGGAAGTGTGTGAGGTTTGGTAATTTGTTGTATTGCTCGTTTATATTAATGTGCACATTTAGTAAAACAAATGACCGGACAGTGACGCTGCAAAAACATGGATGACGTGGAGCTTAAATTTACCCTTGCAGTTAAAACCAGACATTTTATTAAACAGGCGTAACCTGTGAAAACAGCAAACGTCAAATTTGAGTCACATTTTGTCAGATATCAGTACCTTCTCTAAAGTACCTGTGTTTTTACTTCAGTACGATCCATCTTTGAAAGCAGAACCACTGAGACACATGCATTAAAGTAATGAACTACATTTGGTTCATCCAATGCCAAAGTGTTTTTATTTCCACTATAATCAGGCCTCCTTACCTTGAGCCGTTTAGTTCTGATCCCTAAACAGGCAACATTTGTTTTAAAAGAACAAATGAAAGGCTTGATTTCCAACCCACAACAGAGCCACGATGTCAAAATGAAGTTTCAAGTCTTTACAAACATCAGCACACTGGAAGCTGCACAAATATAACCGTGATGATAAATCTGTTTTACATTTGCTGGCTTTATTATCTTCCACTACAAATAATTGCATGTTTACTTTTTATTTATTTATATGGAACTGTACATGGCTAAAAGAGTAATGACCAGCTGGCCACTTCATTTTTTTTTTTTCAATAAATCAAAATTTTTACATCAGATATTAATGTTTTTTGTTTTTTTGTTTCCCCCCACTGCATCTTAAGCTTACTTATAATGATCCTTTATACGGCAGCTATAGAAACATTTTGAAAGAGCGGGACTTTCGGGGACGTTACCAGACAAAGTTTCAACATCCGAAAAAAAGTAAAGATGTTGCATAAGTTGCATTTCTTGTAGCCCTGAGCCCATTCCAGGGCTGGAGTTCAGTAGATGTGCATCCACAGGAGGAAGAGGAGGACGCGACGTTCATCCCTGCTGCAGCAAGTGCAGCGCAGTCCCGGCACGTGCACAGATCAGTCATATAGTGTTACACGTTTTATCCCACATATGAAACAAGGACAAAGTTTTTTTTCTCTTTTTTCTAAAAACACAGCAGCAGAGGTCATAGTGTGGTTTTAGTGGAGGAGGGGGATAAAATAAAATAAAAATAAAAAAGCAGATGAGGCTTCCTCGTCGCTCTTATCTTCACTGTTGCCACAAAAGTTTGAATATAAAGAGATGTGATCTTCCCTGATCTCAGTGAGTGCACGTGATCACAAACACGCATACTGGAAGCCAGATGTGTCTTATTCAAACACCACATGTAGACCTCTAATAAAGCCTTTCAGGTGGCTCCAGAACCAGTGTAGTCAGGGATGCAAGGGTTCAGAAGAGTGAAGAACAAATAACACAKAGTAAAAGGACATCTCATTCTTCTACACGTTGAATTGAACAAACAATAACTGAATCGTTATATTGCTTTTAGCGTATTGCGAGCGATTCCTATGGTTTGCCTGCGACGCCACGAGCAAACAGCAGATAAAAAGCACTGCRCGTGTATTTCCCTCCACTTTTCTTGGACCCTCAAGCTTTTCGTCAGATATGTTAATATGGCTTTTATGTGCAGATGTAGCATTGTTTTAAAAATCAAAAAATAAAAAGTTCAAAAGCTACTCGAGCGCAGTCTGTTCTTGGGTACYTAAAAGTCGTCCTTAAGTGGTTAAATGTCAGCAGATCGATGCTGCGATGAACAAACCATGAAGAAGGTCAAATATTACACCGTGAAGCCTTTAAACGTTTGGCAGTTATATCTTTACGTAAAAAGCTTGTTTTTCACTTAAAATGTGAATAAATAAGCTGCTCCTTTTCTAGATTTTCCTCTGTTCGCTCTGCTCAAAACAGAAAAGTGTCATTTCCTCGTGAATAATTCTCTCTTAAAAAAAGGCTTTCCTTTTTTATAAAACACTCGTCCACTCTGAAGACCAGCTTGGTTTTTTTTCGGACATCTTCGATGGTTCCTCGTCTCTACGGAGAGTCCATCATGGCTTCCAGCATCTCTAGGAACAGTTTGTGCATGGGAACCCCCCCGCGGGTCTTAATGCTGTAGAAGGTGGTCAGAGCGCGGCCCGCAGTCTGTCGGAGGAGAGGCAACGTTAGAAGGAGGCGTCCCGCCCGCTGGGGCTCGTCCGGGCGCCGCTGACATTCCAGCTCCAGCAGGGCCTGGTGGAGGAGGTCCCGCAGCTTCTGCACGGCTTCCATGTCCTCGATGTAAACAGAGTCTGAAAGAGTAGCAGGAGGGTTYGGTTAGACAGACTGAAGACGTTAAATTATCCCAGCTTCAGTCACAGAGCTGTAAAATAAGTTCCTCTGCAATGTGAGGCTGTGGCCACCAGAGGGCACTAAAAGAGGCTCAGAACAAGGAAGTCCTACAGAACAGCTGGAGCTCAGAAACCAGGTGACCATGTGATCGGCTGGTGAAGCTAACAGGTAACGCTAAACTGTCAAGAGTCTGGATTTCCCATTACTGTACATGTTGACAACAGAGCAGAAAAAAAGGACAATGTAGAAATCATAAAAACTATTAATAATAATATTAACACAGTTAATATTTTACAGTTTATATAATCTAATGTTTTAAATAATGTCAGAAAAGCTGTTTGTGTTATGRATTTATTAACAGAAGATAAACAGGAAAACGTCTCATTTTACAACACAAGTCATCAGATTTGATCTTATTTAGCTCAATGTGATCTGAGCAGAACATAATGTAACAGTTTAAAATTAAAATAATCTTATAAAGTCCATGTAATCACTGTTATTTATTGAACTGGTTAACAGATATTAGCTTGTGGAGCATGCATACAGAGTGTAGCTCTGTTGAATCATGTTACAATTTAACAAACTATTAAAGATTACTTTGTCCTCTGATTAATATTTAGACCTACAGAGTGTAAAATAATATTATAAATGTCTGATTAATATTTAGACCTACAGAGTGTAAAATAATATTATAAATGTGAGTATTTTTARGTTTCTGTTAGAGGAACCTGACCTGTTAAGAAGATGGTTAGCAAATAGAGACAAGTTTCATCCTATAACCAGAGAACATTTTCTAACTGTTGACTGGTAAATATAAATATTATTCATATTTTTATGACAGTAAGAAGAAATAATACATATACTTTATTACAGCTGAAGTCATCATTTATCAACTAGCTAAAGTCTAAGTTACAGGCTGACTTCAGGTCTGATTTAGATCATTGTTACTTATAAATTATGTTTTTTTCTGGTATATATCTGATGTTTTACATGATTGTTGAAAGAAATAATAAAAAGATTCTTCTGACTACTATCTGATTAAGAAAAAGATAATTTAGGCGACCTGAGGTGGCCTAAATTCAGTCCTAAGTGGAACAGAGTTTTTGTCCCTTTAAAGACCCATCAGAGGTCTGAGGTCCAACATTATTTCACTCAAGGTGACCCCTACAAGTACTTTGTCCACCACTGGTTAGCGGTGCTCAGATGCAGCGATGACACGAGTTACACCAACTGTGTATTGAAATAATTAGATTTCTAAAATTATGGATGGACGTGAGACATTTATAAAATTATTAGTTTTGCTGTGGGTGAATAGTTAACAAATGGGAAAGAACTTTTAAAACTTAAACAATGAAAAACATTTAAAATCTGATTTGAGCTCTGCACTGTTAGCATAATATGTTTTATCAGAGTAAGTGGTTTGCCAGCAACAGCGTTAACCTCAGAGACTACATAACGCTCGTATTGTTCCGCTGCACTTCAGTACCTGAGTTTGTAAGAGCGATGGCTTTAAGCATGACAAATTCCTCCCGGTCCACATTTAGCGCACGGAAACGGCGAGCGAGTTGGCTTATTGCTGCGTTCAGCTCCGTCAGTCCGGCGGCGCGCGACATCTCCTCGTCCAGGACGAAATCCTCCGCAAACACCACCTCGTCCTCACAGCCGAGCGAGCGGTACGCTACGCCCAGCACCAGCACCTCCAGCCACACCGACTGCAGCACGGACATCTGGTCTGCCAGAGACAGAGACAGGAAACCTGCAGGACACCAGACACAGAGACATTTAAAGACACTACATACCAACAGGATTATCTTGTTTTCTGTAACAAAATGACTTTCTACTTTCAGAACTTATTGTTCTCACAATCAAATCTCTGCTTCACCTACAAACCACGTCTGCTTAAAATTCAACGTTTGTGCTTTAATTTGTCAGAAAGACTCCTCACAGTGCCAGACATAATATAGACGTCGCTGCCTCCTTCAGGCTCTTTTTACTTCAGAGCRGCTCCTCTAAGTGATTCCTGGCCACATATTGTGTTGCTGATAAAATTAGGGAAATCCTATTGATCTAGAAAAAAATATTATCATSTTAAACAAAATTAAATCAGAATCAATACAAGGAATTTGTTTTTGGTTATCATATGGCACATAAGAAATTGCAAAATTCACAGCAGTAGAAAGTAAAAAAAAAACTACCGTATTTATTCATATATAACACAATCGAGTATAATACAATCATCATTTTTTTATCTTAAAAAGCATAAAAATCTAATTATCAATAAACCGTGTATAATACGATCCCCCCACTTTATGGATGATTTTTAAGGTTAAATTTCTAGTATTATACATAAATAAATGCAGTAACTCACACACAGTCCTCCTTGTGAAGTTATATTAAAGAAGTAAGTAAAAGTTTATTTATATAGCACCTTTCACAGACATAGAGGGTCACAAAGTGCTTTACAAAGATGCAAAAAAGTATATAGAAAAATAAGACAATAAAAAACCAACATCATAAAACATTAACTAAGAAACAGAAAACACACTGAAATTGTTAAAAAGCTTGTTTTAAGTTTGCTCTTAAAGGCAACCACAGGATCAAGTGCACGTATTGAGAGGATCATTCCAGAGCCTTTGAGCAACGGCCTGGAAGGAGCGATCACCTCTAGACTTAAAGTGAGTGAAGGGGACCGTTAAAAGGTTCTGATCTGATGACCTCAGCCCTCCAGGGGGTAAATACAGACACAACAGGGCTTTGATATATAAGGGAGCCWGACCATGAGAGCTTTAAATGTTAGTACCAGGATTTTTAACTTAAAACGAAAAACCACTGGAGTGATTTTAGAATGGGGGTAATATGAAGCCTTCTGTTGGTGCGGGTCAACACCTTTGCTGCTGCATTTTGGACCAGCAGTAAACGAGACAACTCCTTCTTTTTAAGACAGGAAAAAGGTTATTACAATAGTCTAGACGTGAGGACACAAAAGCATGATCAACTCTAAAYCATCTTTGGAAACAATATGGACTTTACACTGTGGGTGGGCAATCCTGGTCCTTGAGTGGCACTATCCTGATTATTTTACTTGTTTCTGTGCTCCAACACACCTGATTCAGAGACTGGATAACCTTTTTGTGTTCTGAAGCAACTTTATGCTGTTCTGCAGAAYCCATTTATTCAAATCAAGTGTGTTGGAGCAGAGAAACAAGCAAAACATACAGGATAGCGGCCCTCATTTATAAAAACTGTCAGCAGAGAAACGACGTGTAAAGTCTGTTAAAATCATGTGGTCAGTAACCATACAAACAAATGAGGTATTCAGGGTTTGATTTGTCAAAAGTGTTTTAGACTTAAACAATTTTATTAAACAGGAGGGTGTTCGCACAGGTGACGACCAATCAGACGTCTGCAGTGTCTTTCGCGAAGAAACTGAGTTAAAGAAGAAGGGCAGGACAGGTGCGTGTAAAGGAGTGAATTTAAGAGCGGAGACGGTTTAGAGGCAAAAACAAAAATCACAAACTTRGCACAAAAATAAGTAAATTAGTGTTTGGTAGTTTATTTCATTGTTCTAATAATGCTTCTTGATAATAAATCTTATACCACTGAAAAGCATGTTCACATTTGTAAGGAACATGCATTTGATTGATTGATTGAATGCCTTTATTGTCATTGTATTGTATTTGAGATGAGCAGTAGAGCTCGGAGGGCTGTGCACATGAAAAAATCCCCAGATATTCTCAGTCAAACAGCTTTTGTTGTTGTTACTGACACTTTGTGACACAAATCCAACTCTTCTTTAAATTTACAGCCTTTCAGTGTTTGTGTAAACTCTCCAACGGTTCAAACAGCCTAAAGCTGAATGTTCTGCAAGATTTCTTAGCCGTCTTGCAGCTCTTTTGTGATATTTTTGCACTTTTTCCATGACATTTAGACAAAGAGCTGTGAGAGCCAAGGCCTCTGTCAGCTTTCATATTAATCACTGCTCTAGTTATAGCCCTGAGTGAAACTGATCCCGCTCCTTGGCTCCCGTTTAGACACAGTAATTACTCTAAATTGTTTATATTGCTAACATGCTTCTTGTCCTTTTTATTGTCTCTGCATGTCTTACCGGGGATGTGTTTGGCCCAGCCGATGATCACGACCAGCTCGCGGTCAGCGAGGTCGCACAGCGTGGTGAGCGTACGCTGAGCCGTGTCCGGCTGCAGAGGGTCGGGCATGGCAAACAACTTCTCTGGCTCTGCCACCAGCAGATGGGACACGATGATGTTGGAGGAGCCTGAAACACAAAGCTACTGATTGACCGCAGCATGAAATCAGAAATTAACCGATTCCTCAAACATTTTACTCTTTCAAGAAATTCAGAGGACTTCAGCTTTGAACAGAAAAGCAGATCTGTTTACTACATTCATTCTATTTATTTTACGCACAGGCTTCAGGCTTCTTGTTCATTATAAAATAAAAGCTGCACAGTGAACATGTCAGCACTAGAGGGCACTGTTTCCCACTTAAATAACACTGTAATATCAGTCAAAATATGTGGATTTCAGTGTTTTTGGTTTAAAAAACATATAAATAAATAAATTACAACTAAATTTGATCAAGTATGAAAATTCTCCCATTAAAAGTTCAGATCTTAGCCTYAATTGTTGCATTAATGTTTGATTTCCTTCCTCAAAATGACTGTACTTCTGTCAACTCTCAGTTTTAGTTGTTTATCTTTTCAGAAGAGAGAACTTCACTTTATCCCACTGGACCTGGTGTCTCTGATTCCCTCTGACTTTGTTTACATCCAGGGATTATTTTACTGACTCGTCATCCATCACTCTCTGAGACGGTCTGACGTGTTCTCATCAATGTTTGAATGGAAACAAACGAGTCGTAATTGTTGACTCTACTGGTGATTTTTGCTTGTTTCTTACAAATCATGCGGTCCACTTTTGGGCAGTAAATGATGCCAATTTAATGGTTATTTTTATTATAGAAGATACCAGCATACTTGTAGTCCAGTTTGACGTGTCTTTGGATCATCTAATCAGTTTTTACTGTAAGTTATGGAAATCCATCACATACTGTATAATAAAAATCACCTTTTTCACTCTCTTTAGTCAGCGGTAGAGGGGCACTCTGGTACGTTGCATTCTCCACTTCAGGACGTCTTTTGTACTTCTGCCTTCCTCCTCTGACTCTGTCCAGACGCACTCCTACATCATGAAAGATACAACAACCTAGAGTTGTACCAGTAAACGCACAACCAACTTACCATATTCTTCAGAAAAAGGAAACAATGGCACTTAAGATGTGGTGTCAAAGCCTGACCACATCAAAGACTCACCCTCTTTCAGCATGCCTACTTTGAGGCACTTAGTGAAGCGGCACGCTTGGCAGGCCTTTCTGCGTCGTTTAGTGATCTCACACTCGTTGGATGCTGGACAGCTGTACTCAATGTTTCCTTAAAGAGCAAAAACAAAAAAAACAGTTTACAGTAAATAAGATGAGTAAGTAAATGTCAACAAGCTCGTTTTAAGAAGAAAAGCCATCTTTGATATTAAATATCTGAGATCTTTTATGCAATTAAAAGCTTCCTTAGCTTTTAACATTTAGCAGAAAAGACTATTTATAGATTTTGTTTGGCAGATCGGTACTGAAGCGTAAACATCAACATTAGTGGAGACCCATAATTAATTACAGAGTAAATAAAAGCACGTTTATTTGCTCAGAACAGCTAAACTAAATTAACTGTTTTATCATCTTTTTGCTCTGCATTACATTTCTGTCAGCACTCATAAAGATGGAATAAACATCCTGTCACATTATTGAAGGAGAGTAATGTTAAAGAGCACAGAGACATGCTCGTTCTGTTATGCCAACATAAAACCTCATTACAACACACACCTTGAATGGTTCTCTTGAAGAATGCTTTGCAGGCCTCACAGGACGCCACGCCGTAATGGTACCCTGAYGCCACGTCTCCACAGACGAGGCACAGCCTCTTGGGTAGTGTGCTCAGGGCGTACTTGCATCGCCCTGCTCCGTTACCGGTGGAGCCCTCCTCGGCGCCGTCGCCTCCCTCGTCYTTAAAATGACACCGCAGACCCGGCGTGTAGAGCGGCGGCGAGTAACGTTTGGGGCCGTCTCCTCTGGTTCCTCCACCTCCGCTTTGAGAGGAGTCTGAAGAGGCCCCGCCGGGGCTGGTTCGACCGCCCCCTCCTCCCTCCGGGCTGCTCGGTTCTGCCTTTATGTAGACATCTGTGCGACGCTCCCGGGAAGACATGATGTCTGACAGGTAAAAACATAAAGCACGTGGAAATGTCAAAGTAAATACTGGTATCTACCTCACATACTGCATGTTTGTGCTCTAAAACCAGCTAACTCTACTTGGTAAAGGAAGATCAAAACTGGAGTTTTGACACAAAAAAAGGATGTAAACCAACAATAAAATTTAAATTGAACAATTTCCGTTTTAGCTTAAATAAGAAGCTATGGCCAGTTTTTTTTTAAATGGTTGTGTTTATGGTAATCCCAGCAATGATTATAGCATAAATTACAGTTATGTGAAATGTTTTTTCAGCTTTGTAGTCTGAAACTGCACAAAGCTTTTGAGGATGATAGAAAAAAGAAAAGGAAAAACAGACATGAAAAAATAAACTCATAATTATTGACTTCCATTCATTTACCAGTCATTTCTACAGCCAAACCCTGACCCACTACCCTAAATCTACAGTAACCCCCCCAGTGACCTGACCATAAACCTAAGCTAAACTCAATTCACACTATAGTCCTAAACTGAGTTTCACCRTATTAGGGCCGATCTATGGTCCCCATAACGACTACTGGTCTTGACAATGTAGGTGCATATACCAGAAATGGTGCTAGAAGGTACCAAATACAAATGGACACACAGCCTGACTTTTACTTCAATACTTAGAGAAATAAGATCACATTCGCTGTCCTTTGCTTGTGTCATATTTTGGAAACCAGCACCTCGATTCTGCACAGTCAGCATGTGGACGTCCTAAACAGGCCTGCTTGCATTAATGTCCTCTGTTTTCGCGTGCACTTTCTACCTCACTTACACATTTTAGTTCATCAAAACCCACCACAGACACCCCCCCCCCCAAAAAGAAACCACAACCTTTATGCTAAAATAAAACTATACAATCCTTGAATCACCTGCACTGTGTGAAGTCTTTGTCCGTCGTATTTCAGTCATTTAAACGGCCAAGGTGACTGGATGAAGGTCGCTGCGCTCATAAACAGCAGCCACTCCTCCTTATTCAGAGATATGACTTGTGTTGAAGTACGACAGTAAAGGTACTGCAGTAACCTCCAAGTGTGACAGAGCCTGTATGCAGTTCTCAGTTCAATATGTATTTAAGTATCCAAACAGAAAAGTCAGGTTTTAGTCTAAATTACAGCTTTGATGTGGTTTTTATTATTCAGCCCAAATGTATTTTGGTAAATAAAAGATTAGTTTACAAAATGCTGGAAAGGTGGTTTACCACAGATTCCCTTATCAAAATTTAAACCCAATCTATTAGTTTGGATTATAAATTATGTGTCATTTAAACATGTGATCCAGCATCCAGGAATGTTGTTCTAAAGCTAAATTTAATGGATTATTAACCGTACATTACATCCATTACTAAGGAGACAATTAGTCTAGAAGCAGTCTGATTGCTTTGATACATAATTTACTAATAGTAGAGTGGCATTTGCCCCTGTGTTGTAAATAAACAGACAGATAGGTTAATATTTGTATAAAAGCAACAACAGCTGTGTTTTTGACCAAATAAATTCACAGTTTAAGTAATTACAAACCTAGAAAGATGGAACACAACCTTTAATGGTTTTTGTTTGTTTATTGAGACAGTAAAGAATGAATTAACTGGACTGTATGTGACCAGAGACACAAAGTGCAGTCTGCCTCCAGGTTTCAAACCGTCGTTATTGGCTACATTAATGCAGAGCCTTGCTTAGACAGACTGCAGTTCTTGTTCCCACTTAATAGATCAGCTGCATGAGGAAGATGAGATCTGAGCAGCTTAAATACCTTCAATCCAGTTAAGACTTGAAAGTGACATCTGAACTTGGCCTAATCGGACACAGGCAATCCACTTCAAATAAAGCTTTTATTTTTTCTTGTATTTTGGATAATCTGATTAAGAAAAAATAGAAAAAAGCAGCGCTGCCTCTGAATTTAATCTGCCTTGATTATATATTATCACCGCTCTGGTCTCTYGCACTGAATATCCTGACAGCACTTTACTCTATTGATGTGACTGCCCTGATAAAACTTAATTATTAAGTCATCTATTGATGTTTTATTCCATGGGAACCAATTTAAAAGTGCATGCAGATTTAAATACATTGAGTCTCTAATTCCTGTGATTCATCCATTTTATTCACCCTCTTGTTCCTGTTCAGGCTCGCATCGTAACAAACTTCTTAAGCTATAGTTAAACCTCAGCTATTAGAGACTTTATGYGATATAATTACATTACAGTCCTCCACCCAGTTTTGTCAAAGTGTATCTGTACAACTCTCGTGCTTTATCTGATGAAACAAGATGTCTAAATTAAACACGCACCTACTGACAATGTTAAAACCAGATATTTGTCACATCATACCGTGCATTTATGTCAGAACAAACTTGATTAAAACACTCATAACTTAATACACATTTCCCAATTCCTCAGTCGCAACTTGGTAACAAGAACACGCTTATTTAAAGGTGATAAAACCTGTTCAATAACAAACATGTAATCCTGTGTGGAAGAAATAAAATGCAGATAAGCACTAAATGGATGTCCTGAAAGTTAAATCAACCTAATCTCACAGTGTACTGTAAACACACCATTATAATGTATGGAGGCACAACTAAAAGGTTTGAAACAAGACAGTAATATCTGCTACTCGTACTCTCTATATGGTATTTATCACTACAGCAGATGATTTAGACCTAGTRTGGTTTTCAGTCACACACTTTCCTTGGAGTTTGCCCTCCCTGGATATGAGCTGTGTTAAACAAGCAGGGGGAGTCACATCCAAACCAGCCTGTTTAAAGTTTAGCTCACTTGGACTGAGTTTAAAAGCTAAATGAACCAGTCATAATGCCACAAGCTACACTGGATGAACTTAATCATCAGCAGATAAGAGAGAGACTCGACTCGTGTGCACTTCTGGCCGGCTGCTTGGGAATAAAGGGAACTGTTTAAATCCCAATATTTTAAATAGGAAAAATAATAAACAGACGATAATTCCATAAATGGTTTTGTTTCGATGAAGCAAGCCATTTGTAAAATTAAATAAGTTTTGTTTTCTATTTTTCCCAACCTTAGATAACGTGTCCTAGTGTTATCCAACATTATGAGGTGTAGCAATAGCATTAGCTAGCAGCACCAGTAGCATTTAGCTATAGGTTAGCTMACCGCTGCTAACTAAGCTGGCTAGCTTGTGTTAATCCCCACTAACCAAGCTCTCCCTTACTCTTTCAACGGGGTTTAGTCTGGTTATCACCTTACCTTGCTGTCGCGACTACTACAGCAGCTATGCGGACGTGAGACGGACCTGCCCGCGGCTCATGGCACAGGTCCGACAGGAGAATCTGTCTGCAGCTCCTGCTAGCTCTGAGGCGGCCTGCGTGCACGGATGGGCCGGGCTACAACCGCGGAACTACTGTCGCTCAACCCTGGAGGTGCTCAGAGACAGTTTCACATCTGAAAATTATATAAATATATTTAAATTTATTTTCAAATATTTTATTATGGACCTGTTAGCGTGTTTGAGGAAATGCTACATTAATTCACTGTTTAATAGACTGGACTGGAGTTTACTAAAAACAACTCGAGCTTTTTTTTTTAAGAACAAGTTAGTTGCCTCAAGGTGACATTAGAGAGATGTTTTTGCCCCAGCTGAAAYCAGGGGGTGTGGGAAGTAGAGGTGCAGAGGGTGCTGCAGCACCGCCAGAAAACTTTTCAAAAATCTGATTTTAAAATCTAGTACTATTTTAATATATCCGAGGTTTGTAAATCTTATTATCTATATATAGCAGAAAAAGTAAGGACATTTGTATTTGGTAGATTATTTTGTTGTAAGAATGCATCTTGACAATAAATCTATATATATGTGCAAAATTTTACAACCCACAAAAAGTGAACAAATTGGCATTATTACGTAGAAATTGCAATTAATAGATAAYGTCTGACTCATATATACTCCTTTCCAATGTCTGTATTCAGATTTAACATACCGTACACTGTCAGTGTGTATCACTGTAAATATATTATCTTAAGGTCATGATATTCTTTATATGTGTTTAGAATCATACAAATTCATACATGCAATAGAATAGAATAGAATAGAATAGAATAGAATAGAATAGAATAGAATAGAATAGAATAGAATAGGGTTTATTGTCCCGCTGAGGAGAAATTCAGTTGTCACAGCAGCGTCAGTACAGAGTTTCACACACTAGTTACTTTACAAACTATAGATAGTACACATAAAACAAAATTAACACTGACTAGCCATGATACAACTACTACTAATAAAAATATAATATAAAGAATTATACCATCTTATTATCCTTAAATGCAACGTAATATTTTAACAACCTTGGCAGAAAACTAGAGAATCGAAAAGTTTATTCAACAACTGTGACACAACATTTAGTTGAATTATACCATCTTATTATCATTAAATGCAACATAATATTTTAACAACCTTGGCAGAAAACTAGAGAATCGAAAAGTTTATTCAACAACTGTGACMCAACATTTAGTTGATAAATATTCACAAGTCGATTGTTATTCTCCACCTTCAATTAGGACTCTTAATTCTTGAGCTGGACAGTATGTTTTGTTGCTTCAGAAAGCTTTCTTCTCACTTCCAGCCTGCAAACAATGTCTATATAAAAAACAACTTTAAAGTTGCAGTGCCGTTAAGTTCTTTAGACCACTGGTTCCCAAAGCTGGCAGCGTGATGGTGCCGTGGTTAAAGCTGTCTCGGCGAGTAGGTCGCAGGATTACCTCCCAGCCTGGGGCCTTGACTGGGTGGAGTTTGTATGTTCTCCCCATGCACACATGGGTTTTCTCCCACAGGCCGAAACATGCATGTTAGGTTAACTGGTAACTCTAAATTGACCCTAGCTGAGGGTGAGATTGTTTGTATTGTCTCATGTGTCTCTGTGATGGAGAAATCCTTATATTCGTGCTCTTAACACCTTCAATCTTCTCTTTGCTTCTTTTGGTTTTGTCATAACTACGTTGTGAACAGTGTTAACATTCTGTTGCAGAACTGAACAGCTGTGATTTGTCCAGCGGTCAATAATCCCTGTTGAAGCATAGATTTTATGCCAAATATTTCATCAGCATAATTGGGAAATGTGTGAAGAGCTTACCTGTTGTGTGAACTGGAGCTTGAAACCTACGTAGTCCTCGCTCCTGATGGCAGCTCAGTTTAACGTTCTCGCTGTAGGGTTCAAAGGTGGAGTTATCAGGACACCTGCAAGGAAAGCAAAGACCTTTGAGAACGCTACATATTTCAAAGAAATATGCTAACAGCTAGCAAAAAGACTATTTTCTGGCTAACAAGTTGTGTGCAACGTCATGCAATATTGTGAGATATTCCATATGTTAGCACTCACAGTACAATATGCACTGAGGAAGACTTTCCACACCAAGTTTCAGATCAATATCTGTAAAACTAAAGTCACTTAGCAGTGATGGCCACTTTGAAAGGGGTTGATACCAAATATTAATCAGCTGGTAACTTTGTGAGGGTTTCACTGAAATCCATCCAGTGCTTCCTAAGATATTTTTACAAACTACAAACAAACACGAGGGAAAAGCCATCATTGCCTTCATCGGTGGGCAATAAAAAAAGAAGTTGTTTCCAAATATACACAACCCAGTGTCTATACAGAATCGCCACGCTGCCTGACTACCCTCCCCCTTGAATGCAGCGTGACACACTCCAAAGGTCACAGTCACAGGAATGCTTGAAGGACAGACTGAGTAAAAGCCAACACCTTGTCCTTCTCTCATGCAGTCATAGGCTTAAGTTCATAACTGTGTAAATAATTAAAGGACAGATTAAACCCAAATACACGAATCAGCATTTCAATTTTAGATTAAAAAAAATGCTTTAATGTTCACAACTGATCTCTTTTAATAAGAAACAGCTTGTCTTAATGAAAAGTCATATTGCTAACTTACTGGGCACTGCTTCTTCAGTGAGGTTTCTTGTTCTGGTTTAGCTGGAGGGACTGCTGGTGTCTCTGTCAATGCATCAGGCTGCACAATCAAGTGTTTGAGTGTTTTAAATGCGGCGCTCTGTGGAGCAGCAGCACCCCCGCGGTGACCTTGCCTACTGATCTTGGACCGGTGAAAGGTTAATTACCAAAGTGGATTATTCCTTTAGATCACTGATCCCAGTTCTGGTCCAGCAGGCACGGTCACCTGCATAGTTCAGTGTGTTAATTGTTTTTTTATTTTTTTTTTATTTAGAAAGCATTAACTCTGGGTATTAAAACACGCACAAAATAGGGTTAAAGTCTTGTGGAAGTGCAAGGGTAAATACATATGCACGACGTCTTTAGAGTTAGAGACAATCCTGCCAAACAAACCCCTGCACTCATTTGTTCAATGAGTGATCATATGTACTTTTTTATGTGTTTTGGAGGAATTTGTTTACATATTGCAATAATTAAACAGAATGATGCAGGGAATCTGTGACTCGGCACCATGAGAGGATCTCGAGTTCCTGCAGTTTATTACACAATATTATGAAAGTATTTATTCTGAGGGATGCGTGCCCCTTAGCCCCAATAACACCATGGCCCAGAAGAAGTTACAGCTGTCAGGGGAGTCGTGCCTGCAGGCTCTCATTGAAACCGCTGACATGCTCTGAAAAATAATCCACGAAAGCCTAAAGCCCGCAGGCTGAACAGCCTGGGAAGTGTAGGCTAAAACAAATACTTACTGGGAAATGTAAAACCATCCTTCTTTTTTTCTTTTTCAGCCAGTCTTTCAAGTCTTTGCGGCGAGAAAGTCCACGGCAGTCCTGACCTGGGGTTAAATTAATGACGCCGTCTGAGCCTCTCCAGGCTTTTTCGCATCACATTTTTAACCCTCGCCCTCTCACAAAACGATAACCGGAGACACGACGCATTGACCGGCTGTTCAGCCCTCAACACTGGCGTTAAAAACCCCCTTTTGGGCTAGTACAAATGGGCTACACTTCAGTGTTTTTAGCATAAAGTTGTGAAGACGGGAAAGCTACATATCCGGTAAAGCCCTTTCACAATAAAACTATAATCTCACGCAAAGCGTTTCATTAGCTGTCAAATCAGCCGACGTGTGAAAATAAAGCTAACTTCAATACCATATAAATTTGTTTAACTACATTAACTTGTCAAAAAGTTACCCAGAGGCGTACAATTGTTAATGTTTCTAAAGTGAACTAAACGCAAGTTTTAATTTTTAAACGCAGCTGCACAACTTTCGCTGGCCTCCTAGCTTGCGTCGGCTAGCTTGACTAAGCTACATGACGTATCTAAATCCCGTGGTTTTCCTCCTCTCTGCGCTTCAATTTGCGTCTGTTGTGACTTCGTTACGTCCGTCAGTAGCTCTACCACCGTCATCAGCGTTTAAAAAGAGCAACTCTTAAAAATAAACGAACTAAATCTAGTTTCATTTGTGATAATGTGGCTTCTTAGCTTAACAAATGGCTTATTTTAGATCAACTAATACAAAATTTGTTAAATCTATGCCCATTTGTATGCAGAACACAYCGTTGCATTTGCTTATCTAACTTAGTAAAGTTATTACACTGTACTAAGTGTTTTTATTTCTGTAAGTTGTTTAATTGTTGTAGCATGCACCTTGCAGCACACAGGCCTATGGAAAATAGTCATGCTGTCGGTCTCATGACAGTGACCAGACTCAGTCAAATATTACACTAACTGGACAGAGGGGTCAAAAGTTCGCTGTAGTTTGTTGAAAACGACAGACTTTTGTTTGTTTTTAAAGCTGCTTGATTATCTGGAACTCTAAAAGGGACAGAAAGATTGCTTTTCTGACTTTATATCAATGACAAGAGCAGCTTTTTCTCTGAGTTTGTAACCCTCCGCGTGTCGAAATAGACCCCCCCTGCTCGATCCCAGCATGCCTGCCTGGCAACAGCTGGCATCGAGGGAGGAGAAAAGTTGTTACAAAATCTTTTTTTWAAACTCGTCTGAACTTAATCTGGCTTTAAATGAAGGCAGAACTCGTCCAAGCACGAGTTGGTTAAACTCCGTATTCCCCACTCATGACGTCCCAGCGTTGTCTGGGTTTAATCATAGCTAATATGCTTAGTCTGGTCGGAAACACCTCTCGTGCTCTGCCTCGCGCTGGGTCTTCGTGTGGTCACGTGGCTCGAGGACCTGGTTTTCGTGGCGCGCGCCCGAGAGAGGGAGAGAAACTGACGGCAGTGTCACTGCGACCTTGAAGCAAGGTCGTTCCCTCTCCCCGCCGCAGACACCGCAACCCTGCGGGGCTGCATCCCAGCCCTCTGCCGCAGAGCCCGCACCGAAACAGTCCGACGTGTTTTATACGGGCTCCTTCATCATTTATTTCCATAATATGAGACTTAATCAAGAGTTGTATTGATGAGGAGCACGTGGATGCCAGCTGGGGTCCCCCATAGGCGCTCCTTATGGCAGGTCGTGACCTCACACAGGTGTAATAAGCTTTATAAAAAACCCATTGTGCCTCCTTAGAGCTCAGAAAACTGCATCAGTGAGTCATAGATTACACAATTGATTACAAAACAACCCCAATCATTATTAAACCTAAATATAGTGAAGCCTTAAGGGTGAAGCTTAATAAATGAGTCAAACCTGAGCACAAAGGAAGATATTAAAATATCCAGCATTCTTTGGAGGAATGCAGAAAACCTTTCACATTAGTTTTAAAGTRACAATTAGAAATGACAATTATAACCATTTTAATCAAACCTTGGCTAAAGTTAATCTCATGGAAAGTCACAACATCATGCAATGGTGCACAATGTGTGTTATGACTGACTTCCAGCTTCAGCTTCGCCAAATTTTAGCTCATTTTCTGTAAAACTGACTGAGTTTGAGACATTGTTGTGTTGGCTAAGATCAGCTAGGTGTGGCAGACACCTTGCATTGGGCTGACTCCAAAAATCACTCTCTTATAGTTGCACTTCTACTTTCTAAAAAGTTTAGTGGGTCACGAGATATKTTTTTGATTGATGCAATGCCACAATTTTAGACAAAGGTCTGCTGCGAAGTGTGTTGGGGATGACTTTCAGCTACTATAAGACCTGATTTTAGCTCAATGTCTGTAAAATCGACTGAGTTTGAGCCATTTGGTGGAATAGCTGTGGCGACCATTTTGAACTGTGTTGAGTTTTCTAGGAATCAATAAAATCAGAGCCTCTTTTAGGCAGCAGATAGTAGAAATGACTGTCAGCTGTGATGTATGTGTTGCAGTGGTTAGGATAAGCTCAATGTCTACAAATACAATCAGCTGTTTCCCCAAACTGAGATCAGAGAACACTGCGTTTTGTCTTCAGGTTAACAGCTGTGTCAGTAAAATAATTAACTCATTTGCTGTTTACATGTTTTATTCCATGAGGTATTTAGAAAACGTCTCCACTGTGGAGCCGCTGTTTTAGACTGAAGTTTAGATTTTGTTTGTGAATTCAGGTCAAGAGCACTTCAAACACTGCCCACTGTTCCTCCTCTAGTGGCGACGTATGGAGGCTGCGGTGGAAGAACAGATGACGTTATAGTAGCTGAGTGTGTGTTTGTGTGTGTGTGTGTCCTCCAGGAAAAGGTCACCCACTGCCTTCCCACTGCCTTTGCACATCATCTCTCCCCCMCTCAACCCGACTTCCTGATTGCAATTCCAGAACGATGCCTTTTCTTTAGGCCTGTCCTGCAGGAACGTGTCAGATTTCCAAAGGCTGGATTACAGAATCACGCCATGTTTCTGCTTCCTTTTCTCAGTAAGTCAACCTTATATATATA